AGAGAGAGCGAGAGAGAGAGAGAGAGAGAGAGAGAGAGAGAGAGAGAGAGAGAGAGCGAGAGAGAGAGAATTGTTAATTGTTTGTTTACCTGCGCCCTGCAGGTGTTCATGTCGAAGCCGGAGCTGCAGCTGCACATGAAGGCTCACATGCAGGAAACAAAACCCTACAAGTGCGCGCTCTGTCACAAGGCGTTCGCCAACTCGTCCTACCTGTCACAGCACAACCGCATCCACGCTGGCATCAAGCCCTACAGCTGCCAAGTGTGTCAACGCGCCTTCACTCAGCTATCGCATCTGCAGCAGCACATGCGAACGCACACAGGTGAGTGAAATATATAACATTGCGTCGTTAAAATATCATAATATCATTATATTACAATGTATGCACTATACAATATATCAGGAGTGAATAATCTATAATCTATAATCTATTATTATTCACTCCTGAATATATTATTGCGATATTAGTTAAATTGCCGGACGACGGCGTTGTGCGCATGCGCGCGAGGCTACGGGATGAAGTCGAATTATTTTTATTTGGTTATTTACTTAATTTTATTAATATATTATTCAATTTTTAGCTCATCTGACGAAGTCAGATGCAGCTTGTAGAATCGCATGAGCGTGCGTCCGTCCGTCCGTCCGTGCGTGCGTCAACAGTTGGGCATAAATCTTAACCGCTCGACGTATGGTCACGATATTCGGGACGTCGGGGGGGGGGATCGTGAAAAGGACTCAGGATGACAAATTTGGGGGTCAGGGGTCAAAGGTCAAGATGTGTAAACGGAAGGGGAATATTTCCCCCTTAACTTAAGGTATAGGAGGAAATACGGAATGGCGGCACAAATCTTAACGGCTCGACCTATGCTCTTAATATTCGGTGTATAGTGAGTGTGGTGGGCAGGAAACCCATCACCAGTGCGAAATTGAAGGTCACAGGTCAAAGGGCAGTGGGGGAAAAGTCAGATATCAGGCATTTTCTGAGGACATGGCTTAATGGACAGAGTGGAAAACCTTTTTGTTTCAGCGCTGACCTACCATTTTTATCACTTTATTGAAAGGACCATGAAATGTGCTTTCCACTGACGTGCAAAGAGGAATGTACGGTCTACGATATTCGGGACGTGGGGGGGTAATCCGAAAACGAGTTGGGATGTCG